ACAACAATTCCAAGGTTTATCTGCTGGAAGATGCTTCTGTGTGTGATTGAAGGAGAAACAACCTCTTAGACAGGCAGACCCTTCACAGACCCTCCTCCAGGCAGGTACCAGTATCATCTGTATTAAAGGAGGATTTCAGGCCTCACCCAGTGTTACTGGACTAATGTTAGCAGTGTTCCCACTGACTCAGAGAGCAGAGAAGGCTGGAGAGCTTTTGCTTTGTTCCTTTAAACCAGTTTCCAAATGGAGAGAAATAAAATGCTCTGCCTTGCCTTCTGGGGTTGCAGCTTTCTGAATGCCAGTGGTTATGATTAGGTTTGTCCCATCCCCAGTGAGGAGTATGGGGCTCATGGTGTGCTAGATGGAAGCGGGGAAGGAACCTGGAGTGTTTCTGAGACCTTTCAGAGTGTTGGAGGAACTTGTGGGGGGAGCTGGTGGTGAAGGAGACAAACATGGAAGATCTGAGCTACAAGGACCAATGAGCCTTTTGGAAATTCAGGACTGAGACCCCTTCTCATTTCCATCATGGGTGGGTGTTCCCCGTGGGGATGATGCTACCGTGGTTCAGCGGCTGGAGACAAGACCCACTGCTTTTATGGGGTCTCCACCTCCTGAGTGAAAAATCTGAGCTGGAAAGTGGACTGGTATGGATCCTGCACCACTGCAGGGTCCTCACGAACCACCTGGAACTGTTGCCACTGGATCCTCAGATGGGAGCCCTGCACTCCACTGCTGAAATGGTGACGGGCAAGGTGGACAACATTTTCCTCTGGAGACACCTTATTCATCCTGTGGGAATACATGATACTCACTGGTTCTTGACCAAGTGAAGTCAGCATCTGTGTTCAGATTTGTGGCCAGAGCTATTAGCAAGGAAATTGCTTCCCGGGGTGAGGATGAGGAAAGCAGGGATGAATGATCGCAGGAAAGGATGCCCAGATGCTGGGGGTCATGCTGCCTCCTCGAAGTTCCCCCCTTCCTTGACACGAGTGCTCTGGAATCACTGGAGCAGCAGCAGAGCAATGGTGTGGCTGGAGAAGCTTGGATTGGGGTTACTGACAGTGGGTTCAGCCCCACTGCGCTGCCCTTTGGGGCGAGGACTGGAGCCCACCTTGATCTGGTATTGCTGGTTGCTGCCATCTCTCCAGGGGCAGCCAGTGCTGGGGATCACGGCGGCTGTTCCAGCACTGCCATGACAACAGCAGCTCTCAGGCTTCCTGCTTCCACCATCTGGCTGCGGATGGCTCTGCCAGGCAGCTGATTGGATCCAAGCTGAAATTTTCCATGCCTGTGGTCAGGTTGGGTTTCAGAAGGGCTTTTTGTGGAGGTAGAGAGCTGCAAGGGGTCAGTGGTGGTAACTGTTGGGCAGCGTTATCCTAAGGGAGTAAAGCACCTGGGATGGCTCATGATCAGGTCAGCCGGCTTTAAGCAGATGAACACTTGCTCAGTCCCCCGAAGCTGGGCAGTACAATACGGAGAATACAGATATTTTTCTAAGCAAGTGCTGTTTGTGTCAGCAGAGGGTGACACCATCCCACTGCAAAGCTGTGGCACTGCCAGTGACACGGGTAAGACCTGGTGAGAGCTACCCAAAGGGGCTGGAAGTGCTGCCCAGGATTCCTGGGCTTCAGCTGTCTCAGCTCCTTGGTTCAGTGACCTGTGCAGCCCCCAAGCTCTTGGCCGGTGCCCCAGGAACACATGTTTGGGGGCCCCTTTGCTGGGTTCAGCCACCCACAGAGCTGGACTGTAAGTTCCCGCCCAGGGCTCCATGTGTGCCAGAAGTGACGTGGCGAGGGGATGCACCAGAGGACTGAGTTCCCCATTCAGGTACAAGGTGACTGACAGGAGAGGTGCGGCCCCATGCCAGCCCAGTGTTCACCCAGGAGCTGTAGGAAGGTGAGTGAGGGGTGGCAGGAAAGGACAAGTTCTGTTTTCTGCTTCCTTTTCCTATACTTTGGGCTGACGAGGAGTGCAAGGTCCCCTCCAAGTAAGGAGGTCAGTTCAGTGTGGATAAGAGTGAATGTATTCAGCTAGGAGCCCTCAGTGTTGCACAGTGGGCTCTAAGTTGTCCATGGTGACATTTGAAGTGATGACTGCTGGGTCCATGGAAATGTCAGCTTTAGTGCTCAGATGCCATCAGAAAATCAGATGAGACATAAGGAGGGGATCAGAGAAGAAAATGAAAACATTTTGCTGCTGCGAAGCACTCAAATGCAGATCCCTTCACCCCAAGAACAGGCCCTGCAAAGGCCCTGGTGACACCAGGGTTCTGGAACACCTTCCAGCTGAGCTGGACTTCTTTATCCTTGACAAGGGGCCCAAGAGTGAACAGGGTAAAGATAAAACTATATATCACACATGGAGAGGAACTTCGCTCTCTACGGACAGAGGAGTGGGAGCATTGCAGGACACCTGTAACAGGCAGGTTTGGGTGGGACAGGTGACTGCTTGGGAAACTCCTTGCCGAGAGGGGCTGGAGAGGCAAAAGGTTTGTGTTGGTTCAAGTGGAGGTGAAGCACTTCTGGAAAAGAAACACCTTTTGACTTAGAGGTGGAGAGAGGTGATTCCCCTTCACTACAGAGCCAGGTGGAAGCACACAAGCTTTTGCTCAGTGCTCTTGCCCAGGCACTGGCTGGGCAGCAGGACTGTGAGCTGGATGGGCCTGTTCAGGAGCTTCCCTTCTACTGCTGCCCCTCCAGCCACTTTCCCCACGCCACATCTGCTTCTCCATGACAAACACCTGAGCATGGGGGGGGGCCCTGTCCTCTGGGCAGCAGCTCCAGAGCAGAGCGAGTAGAGGCAGAGGAGCAGGGTCTCAGCCCTTTGCTCCATCCAGAACTGTATCCATCAGAGGAGATTTAGGATAACTGCTCCATCATAGAATTCTGGAATGGTTTGGATTGGAAGGGACCTCAAAGTTCATCTCACTCAAGCCTTCCACTGCACCAAGGTTGCTCCAAGCCCCAGCCAACCTGGTTCAAACATTTCCAGGGATGGGGCAGCCACAGCTTCTCTGGGCAACCTGGGCCAAGGCTTCACCATTGTCACAGAGAATTACCTCCTAACATCTAATCTAATCCTGCCCTCTGTCCATTTGAAGCCATTCCCTGTTTTGTCCTGTTCCTCCATCTCTCGTCCCAAATCCCTCTCCAGCTCTCTTGGAGTGCCTTTAGGCACTGGGAGGGTCTCCCTGGAGCCTTCTCTTCTCCAGGTGAACACCCCCAGCTCTTCCAGCCTGCCTCCAGAGCAGAGGGGCTCCAGGCCTCGGAGCATCTCCGTAACCACCCTGTGCCCCGTTTCCGTGTGGCTCCGGCCCCGCACACACCCCCGTGGGAATACCCACCC